TTGACTGCAAAACAACCTTATTATATATAAAGTTTTGCAAAAAATTATCATTTTAGTTGTTAATTTTTAGAAAATTTGTTTAAAACCTCTCTAATAAAATGAATTTTCCAACAAAAAATTTGAAAAATAAAATCGTCCATAGTGTTTCCAAAGAGAGAGTTCTCTAACAAAAAGTTTTAAAAATAAAAGAAAAAAAATACGTTTTTATACCCTCAAAAAGGGTAAATTATAAATGGACGCAAAATCACAGATAAACTGAGGTGCTGTTTGTTTGTCTGAAGCCAAAATATTTGCAGTTTGCAAACCATATATGTATGCCTTTACAGCAGAAGAGGTGGACCAAATGTCTGCAGTATGCAATAAGAAGTCTATTTGTTTTTTAACGTCTGCAGGTACTAAAAGAAATTGATTTTTCAAACTTAATTTTATGTCATAAACATAAAAAAAATGCATTTTCAGTAAAAAAGATAGGGGGCAGAGAAAGGAAAAAAAAAAAAAGATATGCAATGTTTTTTTTTTTTTTAGGTTAAAATGAGGCGTGAAGATATTTGAAGACAGTGATCCATGTCTGCGTCAGGAAGACCTCGCACATACGTTTTTTGATCTACGCACTTCCAAAAAACAAATACTCTGCGAGGGCATACGTTTGTGCGACGCAGACAAAGTGGTTGCGCAGATCTGCACAAAAAAACAAACAATCCTTGAGTCCATCTACAAAACGTACAAGTCGCTAAAGCACAGATGTGTTTTAGCGACTTGTACGTTGTGCTTTAGCGACTTGTACGTTTACAGATGGATAAGTAAAATGAACTGTTTGAGTCAATCTGAGATTTTGGTAGCTATTTTTGTAATTTGAGTTTTTTTTTTTTTTTCTATTTTCCACAAAATAATTAAAACATTAGGCTATTTTTATAAATTTCTCGGATTATAATAATAATAATAATAATAATAATAATAATAATAATAATAATAATAATAAGAGCTAACTTCACTATTTATCCACCAACTATTGTCATTTTGTGGTTTGAACAATCGATTTTGAATGCTTGACTTATCTTGAATTAATTCTATAAGAAAGAAAGAAACAACACAATCCACCAAATTGAATAACTATTGGAGATCTAGACCCAAGGTTTAGACGTACAATCGCCACTTATTGTTTGAATTTTGGATTTGATCATGGCAAAAGAAGCAAGCTTCTTCAGTGAAGTCGTAGGTTTGCAGCAGCAGAAAACTGATGATGGAGTCGTCTTCCCCGCAGTTCTCTTCCCTAACCCTAACGCTTCCAAGCCTGTTCAATTAACAGACGCCATTAAAGCTAACAAACCATGGCTCGATTCTCTGCTCCATAGGTCTGGTGCGATTCTATTCAGAGGCTTCCCTGTGTCCACCGCCTCCGATTTCAACGATGTCGTTAACTCCTCCGGCTACGAAGACTTCCCCTACGGCGCCGGTGTTTTAGCAACCAGGACGAAAGTTTGCGATCGTGTGTATACTGCGAATGAAGCACCACCGGACCAGATGATCGGCTTCCATCACGAATCGTCTCATGTATGGCCTCCGATCAAAACTTTTCGACGAATCTGTGAATGCTATTAGAATAAACCTCATATCGATCATCTTATGTTTAACAGGTTAGCGAATTTCCTTCGAAATTGTTTTTCTTCTGTGAAATCGAACCAGGAAGGGGAGGAGAAACATGTATAGTTCTGAGCCATGTGATTTACGAGAAGATGAAGGAGAAGCATCCAGAATTTGTGGAGCAAATGGAAGAGAAAGGATTGATTTACAGCAGAGTTATAGGAAAAGAATTCGACCCTTCATCGCCGGTAGGACGTGGCTGGAAGGCGGCATTCATGACCGACGACAAGAGCGTGGCGGAGGAAAGGTTTTCCACACTTTTTCATGGTTTACGTAAATATTCTGTTTTTTAGATAGTTAATAATAATAATAATAATAATAATAATAATAATAATAATAATAAAACAATGCAAATATTTTCAAGATTAGTATATAGAGTATTGGAGTATTACATTTTTGGTACTTGATATAAATGATTTTTATAACTTTAGACCTAAAAAAAAATATTTTGCAATTTTGGTATTTGAAGTTGCAATTTTGTTATTCATGTGATCCAAGGGGACCGGATTCTTTTTAAAAACATATAAATTCAACGAAACTTTTTAACCAATTTCTTGGAACACCAAAGCTTAAAACATCACTTAAACTTAGGGACCAAAAATATAATTTATTAGTTTTAAAGCGAGAATTCTTCTTGAGCTGCTATAGAGATGGATCAAAAGGATATTTGTTAGATTCATGCACAAACTCATAATATATCTTTTCACTTGCAAACAATTAACAAGACATTGGTGTTAAGATTCTTTAATTCTGGTTTGTGTTTAAAAATGATTATATGTGTATCTTTAGATCTGTGAATTAGTTTGGATTCCAAGATGTGGTAGGCTTAATGGTTATTCCTTTTCAATTCTAGATTTTTATGGGTGCGTGTAGGTAGGTGTAGTTTAAGTCATTTTAACATTTGGATTCATTTTCAATTTTAGAATTAGTTTATAATTGAGATGCAATATTTCAAAATTTAACATTTGGATTTGATTACCTGATTTAAATGAAATACAAATTTTGATAGAAACAGATGAGGTTTTGGTGGAAGTTTCCCGGTGGTATTCGAAGGTGATGAACCGATTGTGAGTCGTGTGGATTATGGAGTTATAAAGTGAGTTTAGGATGGGGAAGAAGATGAATAATATTGGGTTTATTAGGTGTTTAATGGGATTGTACATTCAAAGTCATCAATGTGGTTTAAGGGAAAATGGGTCGACAAATGTCTATATGGCAAGGGATAACTGGGTGATCCCTTTATTTTGTTCAAAATGACCAATTAGATCCGACAAAAATAACTTTATTCTTTCGAAAAACACTAAAATAAGTTAAGGGGCTTGCAATACATTGTAGGGTTAATGTATCATTTTCTTTTTCTTATTATTTATATAAGACTCTTTTTTTATGACATATCTTTTATTAAATTTAATAATTAGGTATTTATGATATTAGAAAAAGAAATATGCCAACAAAATTAAGCTATTTTGATTCATGTTTAAGATTTAATTGTTTTAACCGGGGTGAATATATTAATTGAAAAATCGAATTAACCGATATACCTAAATCAGGTGGCATAGTTTCTAATTTGAGTTAACCAAATGGATATGGCTTATGGTTTATTTATGGCTTTCATATAAAATCGAACAAAAAAATAAAATATAAATGTACTAAATTAAGTATATTCTATTTAATTATATTAGAAAATTAAATTTTAAAATGTAATTATTTAAAATTAGATAAGATACGGATATAGTTATATTCACACAATCATTCAAGTTCTATCATATTAATATAGTAGATCCACACAATCAAAATATTAATACTAGAATTCGGACATTCAATTTCAAGTGTAGTAACTCTTTAAGTAATGTACATGCACTCTTATTTAGTATGTTGTTGAAAAAAAAAAAGCTAAAACAAATCTAAGTTGAATAACATAACTTACACTAAGTGAGAAGTGGTTTGAAGATGATGGTTCAATGCTACGTTAGGCAGAACATGCACAACGGTTTTTCAGTTAGAAATCTTGCGAAATGCCACGTGCTGCGCGTGTACTGCGTGACACAACAAAAAGTGATCAGAAGTGTTTTTTCTAAAAAAAACAAATAGCGCCTTAACCATTAACAAAAATCATTAATCCACTAAAGGAGTAACAAAACTAACGGTTGTCGAAATGCATTAAACCAATTGTCAACCAACTTTATTTTATAAAAGTTCTTAATATATATCTTTTGACTCTTAAATATAATAAAATATAACTGAAGTAGTAAACTCATGAAACAACATATTTTCATTTATCTGTTTATAGCATCATACTTTCATTTGTTTCTATTCCAACATTATATTTTCAATAATTTTATAGATGTTTTGTAGTTTGAAAAGTCCATCAAATCACAACATTATACTTTCATATTTTTTTTCTTATTAAGACATTATATTTTGAAACATCTAGTAATTAATAATTTACAACAATGAACATCGATTTATATTTGAATCAACTAATTTTGGATTCAAATGCAGAGCTACCAAGTTGGGAATGAAACTAGAATGGATCGGGGATGAAGGAAAAATTATAATAGGACCCAATTCCAGTTTCAGATATAATGAGGCGCGACAAAAAATGACATGGTTCAACCGTCTAGCAGTTTCGTATGGAGGATTGAAGGATAAGCTAAATGATGATCCGACAAAAGCAGTTGTTTTTGGTGACGGTGAACCATTGCCTCCTGATGCTGTTAATGACTTATTAAAGATGTTGGATGAAGAGTGTGTTGCATTAGAATGGTGTAAAGGAGATCTTCTGCTACTCGATAATTTGGCAGTTCTTCATTCACGAAGACCATTGCTCGCTCCACCCCGTCGTATACTTGCTTCATTTTGCAAGTGAAGGACTTAAGGAAGGTGGTAAGATATAATATATATGCATGTATTTATGTATGCTTTCGAATCAACTTTGTATACGAATAAATTGCCAGTAAGTCCATCGAGCATTGCTATAATTTGGTATATTTCTTAAAGTACGGTACTATAGCGGAAATAATGAAAGTTAAATACTATAATAAAACAAAGAAATGGAAGTTTATATTGTTATTTCTTGCATGAAACTTTTCTATTTATCTTTCAATGATCTAATTGTTTATTCTTTGAACATAAGAAAAGAAGTGGTCATATAAACCCCCACTCATCTCCAAAACCCAACTTTGATAAAGACAATAAAAATAGAAAATGAGCATAAATACAACCATGGTCTTGGCTTCATAAATCCATATCGACATCATTGATCAAATATTTTTATGGAATTACCCATTTTAAAATGGAGATATTCATATGATTTATGGGTAATTTCAAGGTATTGGAAATTGCAAAAAGATGGTGTTGTTCGTGAATTGTTTGGATTTAACTTTTCATAGAGAAAGTTGAAAAATAAACTAGGCAAAATTGGTGACGTAATGTACATTTGTTTATATAATGTTTTTAGACAAAACTTCAAAAATGGTCCCTGTGATTTCTGAAAATATTAAGTTTAGTCCTTAAGTTCAAAAAACCTCGCAGATGGTCCCTGTGGTTTCAAAACTTTTAACAAATGGTCCTTCCGCCTAACTCCGTCAGCTTTCTACCGTTAAGTGAGAGGCATTTGCGTTATTTCAATACACACACACACACATATATATATATATATATATATATAATTATTTAATTAAAGGGCCCCACCCTCTCTCTCTCTCTCTCTCTCTCTCTCTCTCTCACTTAACCCAAAACACTCCACCCATCTTCTTCTTCAATTTTGGAGGGAAATCGAAGCCGTTCATTCCTTAGTCAAGCTAATTAAATCCATGGCTCACGAAATCTCAAAGGAAAGACCACGAATCGGGCAATGTCTACCACTATGGGAAGAACTCAGAGTGAAACTCAAAGACTGGTGCTTAAAGTTTCAGATGAACGAAACCCACGTCGACAAGGTGTTCGACAAAAGGTTTAAGAGAAACTATCACCCCGAATGGGCTGCAACATTCATCCTTGACCCATTCTATCTAATCTGAGATTGAACAGGGAAGTATTTACCACCTTTCAAATGCTTAACTCCCGGTCAAGAAAAAGACGTAGACAAACTCATAACACGTCTCGTATCCCAACAAGAAGCTCATATCGCATTAATGGAGCTCATGAAATGGCGAATAGAAGGGCTAGATCCAGTGTATGCGCAAGCTGTTCAATTAAAACAAAGAGACCCCATTTCGGGTAAAATGAAAATCGCTAATCCACAAAGTAGCAGGTTAGTTTGGGAAACTTATTTAACAAAGTTTAATTCTTTGAGGAAAGTTGCAGTGAGGTTGATTTTTCTTCATGCCATGTCATGTGGGTTTAAATGGAATTGGTCTTTCTTGAAATGGGCTAAATCGAGGAGTGGAATGGAAAAAGCTCAAAAATTGATCTTTATTGTTGCTCATTCTAGGGTTGAAAGAAGGGATTTCTCAAATGATGATGAAAAAGATGCAGATTTTTTTGCATTCGCTAATGGTATGATTAATGAGGTTTTGTTTGATGCTTCATCTCCGTAAAAATCGAATCTTTTTTGTATAAGATGCAACTTATTTATTTGTTATCCATTTAGTTTTTTTTATTTTTTTGGATGATCAATCTCTCTTGTGTATTGAAATGACGGGTGGGGTGTTTTGTATATTGAAATGAGGGGGTGGGGCTCTTTAATTAAATAATTATATTTTTTTTCTTTTTTTTTTAATAGAGAAAACCTCATAAATGATCCATGTGTATTGAAATGACAAAAATGCCCTTCACTTAACGGTAGAAAGCTGATGGAGTTAGACGGAATGACTATTTGTTAAAAGTTTTGAAACCACATGGACCATCTGTGAGGTTTTTTGAACTTAAGGACTAAACTTGATATTTTTGAAAACCACATGGATCATTTTTAAAGTTTTGTCATGTTTTTATTAGTACGTAAAATTGTAAATGTCTAGTCGGTAACGATATGTACTTGGTACATATTGAGCTCGAAAACAAAAGATGAGGTGAATATAAGGACACAAAGAATGCAAAATTATTTTTTATTATATAGTACTAGGTTATTGTTGGGTTATAAGGGTCTTTAGGCCACAAAGGTGCGAACGCATACATAAAGTCAAAATAATAACTTATCAACCCAAAAGATGAACCATATTCAACCATGTCTAGGTAACCTAATAAAGCAAAAACAAGAAAGAAAAAAAAAAACATACTTTTGTGGTCGTCAATTTCTTAATCTTCGCCAGTTGATCGAACTTTGAGGATCCAATAGATAATTTCTCTTACGTGATCGCACCTAAGAAGCAAACAACAAAGCTGGAAAACACCTAAACTGGAACATGTTCGAAGATCAGACAGATCTGAACCTCGGAGGCTGCTATGCAGTGCGTGGGAGTGGCTTTAGGATTTTTCGAGATCTAGAGAGAACCACCAATTTCTGAGGGTTTTGACTAATTTGTAATTCGGGTTTGTGACTATCTATGTATATGGGAAAGATTCAAACCCTAACAAATAATTATCTGGTCTCAAATAATTATTTGTAACTTTTGTGATTATCTTATATTTAAAAATTTTATCTAGAATATTCTAGATTTTCATGGTTTATTTAATTAATTAAACAATTAATTAACTAACAAACTAAACCTTATAATTTAAACTCTTTCCAGTTTTGCTCTTTTTGTTCTTGCGTATAATTCAAAAGGATACTCTCATTAATAATAATACTACTGACTTGTTGTGGCTATAGGAACCATCTTCCAACAACTCCTATTTGCACTAGGCACTAACGACCGACTTGTTGTGGCTATAGTGATTTCAAATTCATTTGATATTCATGATATCTATATGAACCTGAGTTATAGATAATAAGTTAATCTCAGTGTTCAAGATTATGTTTTTCGATAGATATATGATAACCTTGTTGACCTGACCAATATACATCCCTTAGACTAGTGATTTCAAATTCTTTTGATCTTCATGATAGATATGAACCTGAGTCATAAATAATGAGTTAATCTCAATGTTCAAGATTATGTTTCTCGATAAAGATATATGCTGACGTTGTTGATCTGACCAACTCGGTCTCAACTCGACCAAACATTTAATAGAGATATATGATGACCTTGTAGGATGTGGCTCTTGTAGGATGTGGTTGGAAGGGGACATTTATGACTGATGACAAGAGCATGGTGGAGGAAAGGTTTTCACACTTCTTCATCATTTACGTCTTTCCGTTTTTGCAAACTTAGATTATTAATAAAAAGAAAAACTAAATAAATATTTCAAAATTATTATATAGAGTATATTACATTTTTAATACCTGATATAGATTCTTTTTTTTCTATAATTTCAGTCCGATTTTTTTTTTTTTTTTTTTTGTAATTTTGGTCTTTATTTGAAGTGTGGTTCATGTGAACCAAGGGCAACATAATCTCTTTTTTAGAGAAAATTATTAGCTCAATAACTAAGTTTAACGATTCAAGGACCAAAGTTGTTATGAAACATCAAAATATTCAACCAAAATTGAAAACAATTCCTTGGAACACTAAAAGGAACATAAAAACTGAAAATATCACTTAAGGGACAAAAGACGTAATTTACTCTATAGTTTGAGGTTTGTAATTTCTTAACTTATATATATATATATATATATATATATATATATATATATATATATATATATATATATATATATATATATATATATATATATATATATATATATATATATATAATATTTTTTTTATCAAATTTTTATAATTAATTATTTATGATATTAGAAAAAAATATGCCAACAAAGTTAAGCTCTTAAAATATAAGATAGATTAACAAATTTAGTAAATTACTTTTCCCCACAAAGGCTCATTGATTAGTTGGTCATATGTACACATATACCTTTGTATATGTGTTTGGATAGACTTAAACCATGGTCTTATTTAATTAGAACTTTTTGAATGAACTTTAATTTTTCACATGAGTTTTACATTAGATAAAATCATGTACGATGCAATGTATTTTCACAATTTTCACATATCCCTTGATCAAATCATGAATTTCAAAAGTTTCACTTCATTTGAGATAGTTTCCTAGGCTTTTAAAAATAGATTAGATGGTTCTAGATGTTAAAAATGAAAAATTACCATTGTAATATTCATTAAATAACAAAAAAAACTCTGTTTTTTCCTTTTTACATCAACATTTTTTTTTTTTTTTTTATGTTTTACCATTTTTGTTAATCAATATCAACCATTAACCAAAATCATTAGCTGAATAAATCACACAAAATGACATTTTGGTGGGAAGCCTAATAGTTTAGCAATCTCGAATCAATTTGAAACACACTTTTGACGACTTGTCAACCGACTTTTATTTATAAAAACTATTTTCACTAATACTTTTGACTCAATAAACTAATAAAAAGAAATTAAATATCAAAAAGCATCATCAAAAATAAGAATTTTCAGGCCTCCAAGCACCAATAACAACACATACATAAAGAAACAACAGAAGCAAGAAAACTCAAGAATCACTTTTACACATAATCCAAAATTTCCTACAAGAAAAAAAAAAGTTCCAATAAAAAAAAACACACAAAAACAAATCAAGTATTCGATCCATTGTTACACATCTAGTTAGCTTTAACATATTCCTGAACAATGTGAAGACCTTCACTTTCCTCTCCATAATCCTGCAATAAAAAAGATCATAAAAACTCAAAACTTTGAAGAACACAAAACTAAACTCATCAACAATTTTCCAATCATTTCGCCTTCAAAAATACCTTCACAACAAGGCATGAACACCCCACAACCTTCCTTGCCTTTCCTTCTGAATCAATCTTACACAGCTACAATTACAAAATCACAAAACAGATAATAAATAATCAAGTAAATAAATCAATAAAAAATAACAAAAGTAGGTTGCTATTTTGTGTAAAACTTACACCAGCCCACTCTCCAAGAGTTTTTGCACTTGGAACTGTTATCAAGCTGACATTGTGGTCAGCACAAAGAGCTTTGACCAGTTTTTGATAGTCTGGCTGATTACAGTCTTCAGCCAATACACAGAGCTGAGCAGCATGTTTTTCAATGACTTTTGCAGCTTCATGAAGACCCCTCACAAGGCCACCATGAGCAAGTGATTTTCTTAGAACAAGTTGTAATGCAGTCATGGTGTCCATTGGCTCACCAAGTGCAGGAGGAGCAGGGGTAGGGGTAGGGGTCTCAACTGGGACAACACCATCTTCACTGCAGATATGAATGCATTTGATCAAGAACAGAATCAGTAAACGAGATTTGGAAGTAAGAAAACATGTTTCAGAAGAGAGGAAAGAGGAAAGAGGAGATGTATATACGCTGCCATGTTTTCTGTTGATCAGATCTTCAGCTCAAACTGTGTAGGAGAACAGTGTCATGGGAAAACAAGTTAGTGAGGTATGTTATGGAAAAAGAAGTGTTTTTTCATTGATTATATACGTTCGTATTCTGCTCTCTCGTGAATTGAAATTGGAATAACTATGAACTGTTTTTGATTGATTATCAAATCGAAAGAGAGATTTGATCAGAAGTAGATGTATCATAACCCCAATTCCGGAATTAAGTAAATCGAATTACATCATAGAGCTTCCTAGAACTCGTTCTACACTAAAATCACATCACAACACTTTTGCAGACGCTATGACTATATAAAGGTACAGATAAAGGTAAAGGTTCGAATTCTAAGCACAATTAACTAGTAAACCATAGTTGAAGTGCAATCTATTCTCTGAATATTATTCAGGCAGGATAGCTAGTTAACTAAACAGATTTTCTCAAAATTAAATTGTTAATCAAGCGAAAATCAGTATTAATTATCGGATAAATCGAATGCAAACTTAGAGCAAATTGCGATAGGTTGATGGTTGATGATGGATAAGAATTTTGCATACCTGCTGATGCTGTTATGGAGAGGTCGAAGAAACGCAGGCTCTGATCACCCTCTGATCTCAAAAGGGATGATAACGAGTTTGCGATGTTATAAAGGTACTTGTTCTAAAACCCTAATTCTATCAATGAAACGTCATCATTATTTCTTTTTAATATAAACCCGGAACTTCCATGTTTCTCAGTTTATGCCCTTCCTTGATCTTTTTTTTTCCCAAATCAGTCCTGTGTTATGTGTCATTTTCGTTTTTTTTTATCGAGGAAATAAGAAATTGTACGAAAATAAATGTATTTTTATCCATTATGAGTTATGACGATAGTTGAAATATGGAGATTGTTTGAGTTGTCTCTTTATAGACTAACCGTATGATTAATGTTTTTTTTTTTCAATTAAATATAAAATTATAATATTATCCTTAAGTTTTGATTTAAAAATAGTAAAATACAATTAGATTATGACCCACGTATAACGTGGGGACATTTAAAAAAATAAATATAAATGTAAAATTAATCCTAATAACTAATTAATGTTTTAAAAAAAATTATTAATTTATAAGGATAGATGTTTTATTTATAAATTTTAATGATTAATTAAAATTAATATATACATTGAA